CGGAAGTTCAACACCAAAAGGTTGCCCCCAGAGACAGTGTTTCTAATGTAGCCTCTGGCTCAGGCTCGTAAGGACCTTTAGGGCTTGTCACACAGGGTAGGCGCTCTGGAGAGGTCCGTGCACACTTGAGGAGAACCCTGATGGAACGTCGTGAAGGTCTGGAGGGAGCACACCATGGCAGATGCCGTCACCAGGTCCGGAGGGAGCACACCTCTGCAGATGCCATCACCGTGGAAGCCGTCAAGCCCCGACCGTAAATCCCTGCTGGAGGAAACCGGGTCCCGATGTTGTGTGCGACTTCACAGGATTTATGGTAGAGCCAGTGAAGGAAATCACGAAAGAGATAGTGGATAAGGCAAAAAAGAAAAGGGGGATGGAAGGTTTCAAGATATGGATCTTGGAGGAATTCAGGAGCTAATAGACACCACACTGGAGGAATTCATAGAAGGCGCCTCGGTGGAGGCGAAGACGGCTGGTGATTCCGAACCGGTGCCAGGCGACGAGGATGAGGGAGAGGCGGCGCCGGAGCAGAGGCTGACCCTAGACTCTGGCAGACAGGGGACAGGGTCCGAGTGTTCAGAACTGCTTGTGATTAAAGCAAAAAGTGGAAGAAGGATCGGTACTGCACTGCGTAGAAACATGAAAAGCACAGAAATCAGACAGAAATGACCCTATTTCTGTAAAGTTCACCCGGGTCCCCTGCCTTCCCCCCAGCCCCGTCCGCCAGGGACGGCAAGACCAAGCCCTCCTCCTCCTCAGTGCGCTCAGCATGCAGACCTTCGTGATGACCCACTGCCACTTGATGAGCAGTGAGTAATCGTGCCACAGCCGTCGTGTGTGTGTGTGTCTTTGTGTGAAAATCTGACAGCAGTGTGGCAGGAACTGTATGAGATGTTTTTGTGTCGTCGTCGTCGTCGTCATCGCCCAAGTGCTCATCGTGTGCAAGACGCGTGTGGAAGTGGAGAGCCTCTCCTTGCATGCGGTGAGTGACAGTTCATGCGAAATTAATAATATGCTCGTTTCCATACCGTTTTATTATTTTGTTTGCAAAGAATTGCATTCCGATATAGTATGCGTGCCTCTCTCTCTGGTAATTGGGAAAGCTGCAGTATGAACCTATCATCACAGGTAAGTAGGTTTTTAAAAAATGTAACAGTGTTTTCAATACTGTATTATAAATATGGCTATAATACTCTATGGCATAAAGGTTTTATAATGATTCATTTGTTAGTGGATAGCCTGGGCTAGGCCGCCGTAAAGCAGTCATAATGCTGCAGCTTCATTATCAGTGCATGACTCATTATACCTGTAACTAAATATGAATTTCTTTTCACATTATCTTTTCATTTTGGATGTCTAGCGTGAGTAACCCGTATAGAACATCTACAGTGTTTGATATCATAAAGCATCTTGTAAACAGACGACGTAAACTTATGGTATCGATGGATACAGTACAGTACTGTAAATGTGTTTTCTCTTATGGTTTTCTTAACATTTCTATCTTTATTATAAGAATACAGTATATAATGCATGTAACATACAAAATATGTGATAATTAACTGTTTATGTTATTTAAGGCTTCTGGTCAAAAGAAGGCTATTAAGTTTTGGAGGAGTCAAGAGTTTTATGTGAATTTTTGACTTTGCGGGGGGTGGTGCCCCAACCCCAGTTGTTCAAGGGTTAACTATATGTTTAATAAATGAAACAGTACACTTTCCTACTCTATAGGAGGGATACACTTTGCAACAGTTTATTATAGACAATGGCGGGTTTTCTCCTAATCTTCTATTTTCATTTTTATATGTCATACTAGGAAACAATAAAAATTAGAGGGTGGCATTTCGTTCTAGATAAAATAAGATGATGGCGCATCAACTCTTATGTTTTTATTTGTTAGAATGTTCCATTCATTCAAATCCCAAAGGATGTCTGTCCTAAAATATTTTAAGATAAAGGTTTAAACTGTTAAACATCCTTCTATATAGTTAAATATAGACATACTTTAAAATTCCAATTTTTACACATCCAAGGTTTTAGATTTAGGTTTTGTGCAGTTTTGCTAGTGTTCTCACGGCTCCCCTTAGCTGTTCTCACGGATGGTCATAGCTTTCTGTCTGTGGTAGACTGTCGGCATACTCGGTCTGCCTTTTCCTGCTAGCAGCATTGATAGCCATGCGACGGGATAGTTGTCTGTGTTGCAGTACATTCAATGCAGACATTAAGTGTTCGAAATTGACAGCAAGAACCAGGTTGCTTGGCCTGTTTTCCTTTACTCATCACTTGCCCTGGTAAGGGACGTGGCAACCTAGTAAATGTTCAATATTCCTTTGCTTTCTGCTTCAGCTGGATAAACTAATTTGTAGGAAACAGTACATATTTTGAAGTTGGTGTATCCAGCCAGGAACGCCAAAGTATTTACAGCAGAGAACAGTCAACACAGGGGGCTGGTGGTCACAGGCAGTGGTGTTGCTGGGAGCCACGCAAGGCAGAGGGTGACCTAGAGATCAGCCACAGCAGGAAGCCACCCCCACCCCGCAGTGCAGAGAAGAGTGGGCCCGGGGCCAGGGCCACCGGTGGAAGCTGGAACCTCGACAGCTTCAGGAGCAGAGAGCCGGGGAAGAGAAAGGGAGGTTTGGGGTGAGACGCCCTGGCTTCGGTTTGCCTCAGCCCTGGCCTCCTGCAGCACAGAGCAGAGCAGAAGGCGGGCAGGGGAGCTGAGGGCAGACAGGCCCGGGGACAGCAGCTTTGAGGGGGGCCCCTCTCCTGCCACTTGGTACTTCACCTGATCCCTGCGAATACGTCCTGGATGAAGTGAAAATCCGGTTCTGCGAGGCGAGGACCCTCTGGCTGGCGTCCTCGGTGTCCCCGCTCTCGTTCCTCCGTGCCTCTCAGCCTGGGCTCTCACTGGCAGGACGTGGTCTTCTCGGACAGTGTCTAACTTTTGCGCGGCTACGTGTGCATGATCAGCTGGCATCCCCCGTTACAAATTTCTGAAGAGGTGTAGAATGTAGTCAGTTTTAGAATGGCCTGACTCACCCTGTCATAGGTAGTTGAGGTCAGCTACCTGAGACGAGTCCGTCGAATGGGATCTGTCCTCCTCTTGCAGGTATAGTGCTACTTCTGTCTCTTCTCAGACTGATCTTGGATGATTTATCCTGATTAGTTAATGAATATCTGATAGAGATGACATATCAGCTGAGGAAGACTAGACAGTTAATATTTGTTGCTTTCTTTACAAAATAGTCAGGGATGTAATCTAAGTATTAAAGCATAGAGCCTTGCATGAGGTGGGCATCCAATAAAGTGTTTAACTAATAGTGAATATTGTGGAGAGTTGACCACTGACCTTGAGAAGAAGTTTATGGCTGAAGGACCCCAGGAAATCTAAAACAATCTTTTTGATTTATAGAAAAGGAAACTAGCACTTTCCCTTTTCATTTCTAGAAGATCCAGATTTAGCAAAGAGATAAATGCCTCAATCAACCTAAAAAACAACTATTTTTTAAATCATAAAAGCCTTACATTCATAGAAAATCCAAAAAAATTGTGTGTGTGTCCCACTTGTTATTAATTAACATACTCGAGTTAGTCTTAATGCCGCTCAGCCTCGTGTGAACATCCTACTCAAAGAGGATGCCTTTTACTTAACTATATTTGTGGGAGCGACATTGGTTAATAGCGTGTAAGTTTCAGGTGTATGGTTCTGTAATGCATCATCTGTATGTCGTGTTGCTCACCATCCAGAGTCGTCTCCTTCGGTCACCAAATGTTTGGCCTTCTTTACCCTGCTCACACCCACCTCCCTTCCCTTCCAGAACCACAACACTGCGTCTGTGTCTCTGTTTGTTTGTTTTCTTTGTTCGCTTGTTGTTTTCTGTTGTATTTTTCATGTGTCAGTGAAATCATACGGTGTTTGTCCTTTTGCATCCGACTTATTTCACTTGGCATGATACTCTCAAGATTCATCCAGTGTTGTCGAAAATGGCAATGTTTCATCATTTTTATGACTGAGTAATATTCCAGTGCATGTATGTGCCACATCTTCTATATCCATTCTTCTGTTGAAGGACACTTCGGTTGTTTCCATGTCTTGGCCACCGTGAATAGCGCTGCAGTGAACATAGGGGTACATATATCTTTATCAACAAGTGTTTTCCGTTTTGGGGAGTCGATAACCCAGAAGAGAGATTGCTGGGGCAGGTGGCAGCTCTCGTCTTAATTTTTTGAGGAACCTCCGTACTGTTTCCCGTCGTAGCTACCCCAGTTTGCGATCTCGCCAGCCGCGCAGGAGGGCCCCCTTTTCTCTACATGTTCTTCTCCAGCTCCTGTTATTTCTTGTCTTATCGCTAACAGCCATTCTGACAGGTGCAGGGTAGTATCCCATTGTGTTTTGATGTGCATTTCCCTAATAGCTAGAGAGGTCAAGTATCTTTTCATGTATCTGTTGACCGTCTTCTGTATGTCTTCTTGGGAAAAGCGTCTGTTCAGGTCCTCTGCCCGTTTTTTAATTGGATTGTTTGCTCCTTTGCTGTTGAGTTGGATGAGTTTTTTCTGTATTTTGCGTATTAGTCTCTTATGAGAGGATTTGCTGAGATCTTCTCCCATTCGCTTGGTTACCTTTTTGGTTCGTTGATGGTTTCTTTTGCTGAGCAGAAGCTTTTTGTTTGATGTGGTCCCATTCATTTATTTTTGCTTTTACTTCCCTTGCTTTGGGGTCAAGTTCACAAAAACTCCTCTGAGACCAGGGTCTGTAAGTTCAGTGCCTGTGTTTTCTTCTGTGTATTTTATTGTTTCAGGTCTTGTATTCAAGTCTTAAATCTATTTTGAGTTAACTTTTGCATACGGTGTCAGATACCAGTCTGGTTTCATTCTTTTGCTTGTGGCTTCCCGGTTTTAGAGAGGACACTTTAATGGAGAATTTTAATATTTCAAATAAGTATTTTTAAATTAGAAAATGAAAAGAGTGCCTATTTTTTAATCAGTGTCTTTTGTTACCGCAGTGGACGAAGGTCGCAGTAAGGAGCCTGACCGATTGCAGGTGTTTCACAAGAAAGCCATACTGCCTTACGGGGTATATAAGAAACAGCGCAGAGACCCGAGCGAGGAGGCCAGCGTGCTGCAGTACGCCAGCCTGGTGGGGCAGACCTGTGCCGAGCGGATGCTGCTCTTCAGGAGCTGAGAGGCGCCGCTGCCTCTGCCTGGCCCCCCGCCCGGCCATGGTCTGAGTCACCGTCCAGATGCATCGCTCGGGGGATCCCGGAACCGTCCACAAGTTTGACTATGAGTTTTTATTTTGACTGTTATATGGCTTTTCTAAAACACTTTGTGGCAATGTATTTGTGGCATCTCATGGTTAATATAAAGGTTTTTAAAATGTTACAACTGAGCCTTATAATTGGGGTTTATCATTTTGGAAGTTGGTTTTATGAACAAGAAATGGTAAGCTTTTCTTACTGTTAATATTTTGGAAAGTAAAATTAATAAGTGAATCTTAAGTAATTTAATTACAGTCGTACTGATTTTGTTCTGTTAGAGAAATCAAAACACTTTCCTCAAATCCAGTTAAAACATGAGTTTATGTTAAAAAACCTTCAGTGTGGGAACGAAGGTAGAAAGTCTATTTCATCACTTAGAAAATGTCTTCTCAAGAGAACAAAACTGCTGTTACTCAGTGTTCAATATTAAGTTACTGCCGAATGCTATGTAGTTCAGTAGAGAATTCAGAAAAAGAAAATGCAGATGTTAAAAGAAGGATGTGTTGGCACCAGGTGTCTGTTTACCCAGGACGATTCTGCTCTTCATGTCTGCTGTCTTGGCATGACTTTTTTTTTGCCTAGAATAATTATTGCTACTGCTCCCTTTTACTCTGAGCATCCCAATTTAGACAATAAAGTCTGTTTATCCTAGTTATATCATGTGTTCTATTTCTAAAAATCTAAGAAATGGAGCTTTTTAAGAAAAATGTTGGCTCCTGCCTTCACCTAATCCTCATCAGAAGTAAATATACACTAGTTTTTTATTCCTTACAACTCAGGACACCTGTCATTGGTTATTGATTAAAAATTAGTTAATATCTGATTACTCGTATAGCTATACTACGAGTCACATTTGATTGGGAATCATTTTGACCTAAAGAATCCGTTTCTGGCCCACTGATTGGGGTGTCAGAGAGAGATGCTACACTAGTCATTTGAAGCAGAAGCGGCCATCTTTCCCTCTCACTTCCTTTGGTTTGGTCCTTTGCCCATTCAGCAGATGTGCTATGTCCACCACTGTCAGGGTGGCCGGCACTGTGCTGGGAGGAAGGGAGAGAACCAGACATGTTGGTTCACAGTTACGGTCGAGTGGTGTTGGGCACAGGGTGAAGGACAGGGGTGGGTCATCGTCTTGTGCTCTTTCTCAGCCGATCCCCACCCTCTGTTGCCAACTGCTTGGCCACCGAATCCTTTTCAGTCCCCATTTTGCCCATTTGTCTATTTTGTATGATTGATCTTTTTGAAAACCATATTCTAAAACTTAGTAGTTTTAATTCCACTGCTGATTTTAAACTTCTGAATGCACTGAATTTAAATAAAACGTTAGAAAACAATGATTTTAAAAGTCAAACATCTAGAAATGGAACATCCAATCCAAATAAACTGTACGTATTCATTCAGAACGTGTGTGCAACCCCTGCCGTGTGCAGGTACTTTGCTAACTGGGGTTAGAGTAGCGAACAGAGCCATTTTCTCCGATAGCGTGGATTTTACGTTCTTCTGGAATTTTGTCCTTCAGAATAGTCTCTCAAGAGCATTTGATGGACTCTTATTTGGAACTGCCTTCAGAATCGGTAGAATATTTTTTTCTTTCCCCCTCTAAAATGAAGATAGTTTAATTTTTTATGACTACAAAAATGATACTGTGAGCAATTTCAAACATTAAGAAAAATATAAATAAGAAAGTAAAAATAATCTGAAATCCTGCCATACCAGAGAAAGAATTGCCATACACACGCACACACACACTCACACACTCACACACACATATATAATTTTAATGTAAATAGAATTACGCTCTACACCCTGTTCTGTTTTCTCAATCAGTTATGGACATCTGCAATTAGAAAGAAATTTCAAGATAGGATTTCAGAAGTGTCATGAGTAACCTCGGTGTTGCTGAAGTCAGCAAGGGGGCCAGTGTTCGGTCCCCTGGACATTTGGTTGTCCAGGCTGATGTCAGCCGCGTCTTACACCTCCTTTCGTCTCAGTGATTAGCATGTAGGGTGGTGGCCATGAAGATCTACCCTGGAGTCTCAAGTGAGGAGAAAACGAATCCTACCACAACTCTGCAGAATTCAGTAAAGGGTCCCTTCAGAGGAAGACGATTAACCATCCCTGTCTGGGGGCTGTGATGCTCGTCCTGAGGGCGGCTTCTCGGTCTGCTCCAGCAGAGCTCGGGTGCAAAGATTCTCCTGCTCAGTTGCTATTTCTATGTGTTTTTTATTGTTGTTGTTGTTGTTGTTTTTGAAAGTCCTATTCTGATCCCAATAAGGAAAATTTTTTCAAAAGGCAAATTATTCTTCTGAGTCCTAGTTGAGCGAATATTGACAGTGGGTTAAAAAGGACAGTCAAGGAGAGTGACTTGACTTTGTCAGTTGACAAGCAATCTAGCCGAGAAATCTGACTTTATGTTAATGGCTTTCATCTAGAGAAAGACACATGAGAACCTTTCAAAGACAGTTTATATCTTTTCAAGGCTGGAAGCTTTGCATTTATAATCTTAGTGCTGTAATCGTTTTCTGATTTCAAATAAATTTGTACCTACTTTGCTGTGTTGGGGATCAGAATGTACTAGAGATTCCCCATGCTACCATCTTTATTTAAATTATTTTGGTTATGATGAGAATTTCATTATCTTATTTTTAAAAGTATAATCTGAGCACTTTTTTATATTCTAAAAGAGAGAGGCTATTATCAGATAAATATATTCATTTGATTAAAATTATTTAGATAAGAAATTATTGTTTGTTTACTTTCAAACAGTTTATTCTATTTTTTTTTATAACTTGCATAATATCAGTTGTGTGGTTTCTCAACATATAGGGGTCTATTATGTAAATGAACCTTTTCAGATTTTGGAACAATATATGGTTTGATTTATAGGCTTTATATTATTTCATTATGAATAAAGATGAGAAAGAATATGATGACTTACCTAAAATATGTCTATTGATGCTAACTTTAAAGCAAAGGGACATAAAATGGAAACAATTGGGAAATGTTTAAATTAGAAGTTGTTCGAATTTGTATTCTTTTCCAAAAGAAAACCGGTGACTATAAGACAAGACAAGTTTGTTTGCATGTGGTACTTTTTGCTCTTGTATGTGCTGTTTAAACAGTCCATTTGATAGAGCTCAAATGGAAAAAATAAAGCTGTTTCTATCTGCAGTGGCTCTTGCTGGTCAATACTTAAAAGACATATGTTTTCATCTTTTAAATTCCGGAATACATCTTACCTGTAGTGAATTTGCAGAAAACAGAGATAAAACATTGGCTGTATGAATCGTAATACTTAATTTTCAGTAAGTAGAATTCCAGATCATTTAGTTACTTAAAGCACGATAGATTCCTTTCTCAGAGCTAAATAAAAGTAAAATCTCACCTTAAGCAAAAAGTCTGGATTTTCACAAGATAAATTAGGGAACAAACCCAAAAGGATTTGAAATACGATTTAAGTAACAAACTCAAATATAATTTCTCTTAGAAAGTTTAGTTTACAGAGAAATTTTCATAAGTATCTCATGAAGCAAAGTTGCTTTAATTGTTTATAATAGTTCACAGCATATTTATGTAATACATTTACAGGTGTTTGTCTTTTTACAGTAAAGAGAATCCTGGTAGGTTTATGATCAAATAAATCCTATTTTCCATGTGATTTAAATATTAGTTATAAGTCCCACTGACTTTTTTTCCCTAGAATGGAAATAGCTTTGTTGTTTTTATTTGAAATGGACAGTGTTCACCAAAGAACATTTAGAAAAGTATACCAAAGAAAATAAAAATCACTTACAATCACTACTGCTACTATTCATGTTTTGGTTTATATCCATTCAAATTTTTTTCTACCCACATGTATGTATATGTTTTGTTTTTAAGTAACAACGGAATCGTGCCATGTATACTGTTCCATAATTTTTTTATCTATTTAATATCTTCAAACATCTTAATATATTGTGAAAATGCAAATACATATGGAAGGATATAATTTTAATGGATGCATAATATTCCACATTGTCTGTTTTGAGAAAGAGGGTTTAAGATGTTATCCCCTTATAGGTAATAGGAGTTGTAATTGACTGGCATGAATAGTTTTTATCAGCTCTTTGTAAAACTTGGTAATGTTCTTACTTCTCATTTCCTGGTTCTCATTTCCTGGTTGCTCTTGACAGTAGGAATTTTCTCCTTGAAGGTTCAGAAAATGTATAGCTTTTAAAACTTTGTGCCTTTCCTTTCACTGCCCCGCGACTAAATATTTTCTATATTTAGTTGAGTGTTTATACTACTATTTTTACAGTTTGCACACCTCTAAAATTTCCAGTTAGAAAATGTTTGTCTTAAAAGCTTAAGGTTATTTAAAACAACCTTCTGATTCATTGACTCTTTATAGAACAGAGGTCTTTAAAATAGGCATATTGGAAAGAGTAGGTAACCACACCACTATTATTATTATTTTTTTACCTTTAAGAATGTATTTTTACTTTAAAAAATATTTTGAGATTTTAAGTAAAATGGCATATTTTGTATCCAGTTGGTTGTCACAGTTGCTATCTTTAATTCAGTCCTATCCAGAAAAACATTTCCCGTTAACTGTTTGAATTAGACCAAAAATTAAAGTTGCCGAATATGTTTTGCATGCCCAATTTTTTTCTTTTGGAGCTTCAAAATAGCTTGCAAATTTTTGTAGCCTGGTTTCTTCATCACATCTCTTCACCTGCAATTTAAAGAAGTAATTCCAAATAGAAGTGTTTTTTAAAAAAACAATGTTATATGGCATTCATGGTTGTTAATAATCTCCCTTTAATATGTCACTCAAAAGTAAATGTTTCAGCCACCTCGGAGGAGAAACATCCTCGCTTGTCTGGAATGCATAAAAGCAGGCAATAAATGACCAGCACAGATATCGTCTCTTTGCTCCTTACAGTTTGATTAAAGCTGGTTTGCAAAAAGTGGCTTTTACATTTTATTTATTTAAATGTTCATAAACTAGAGCCATATACCAAAAAGCTAAATGTTCTGCTCGTAACTTGCGTAATTCAACTGTATGATTTTGGATCATATTTTCCCCTGAACCTTAATTTTTCATACTTTTGTCCAGTACGTGCAGGATCTTACAATCATTTAACATAGGCTTTTAAAAAAAATTAATTAGCGTTAACTGAGAACTCATGAATACTTCATGAAGTGCAATTCGTGACACTTGTTAATTCAGTATTCAGTGAGTCTGAATAGCATCTCTTAACTAATGGAACTTTGGGGCATGAAACAAAACAGCATCTTAGGTTTGTGAATTCAGAGCTTAAGACCCTTAGTTCATTTGCGTGTGGACAGTTCCATGCACTTTTCCAGCATATTTTAATGTATTGAGAGAGGGATGGACTGTAATTTGGAAGCTGTCACTGATGTTCTTTTGTTGACTATTAAAGAAAATATGTATGTATGTGTATGTTATACACACAGTGTGCTTGATTAAAGTTCGCTAGTAACCATATGATTTATTCCATTTTAATTCAAAGAATCAACTTGATAAGGGATTTGGATTTCTAAGACTGTCGTAGAAGTCGTTAAAACCGATAAAGCAGCCTGTCCAATAAAGTCGCGATTGGCTAAATGTGTCTAATTAAAATTTAAAATTAAAATTCAGTTCCTCAGCCTCATGAGCCACATGTCAAATCTGAGTAGCCACCATGTGGCCCACGGCCACTGTCTTAATTTCCTAGGGCCTCTGGAACAAGTCACCACAACCTCGGTGGCTTAAAACAACAGGAATTTAGTCTCTCAGTTCTGGAGGCCGAAAGTCTGAAATTCAGGTTCTGGCAGGGCCATGTTCCCTCTGAGGCGTCCGGGCAGAGCCTGTCCTTGCCCCGTCCTCCTGGCGGTGGCCGTAACCCTTGGTGTTTCCTGGCCGGCAGCTGCGTCATTCCCGTTTTCTGCCTCTGTTCGTGTGGCCGAGGTTCTCCCTCTGTACGTTGCTCTGTGCCATCTTCTCGTCTTACCGGGATCCCCGTCATACTGGAATTAGAGCCCGTTCTAATCCAGTACGACCTCATCTTAATACATCTGCAAAGGCCCTAATTCCAAGTCAAGTCACCTTCATAGGCGCCTGGGGTTAGGGCTCCACATATTCTTTCGGGGGGACATGATGCACCCCAAAAGAGCTGTCATGTCGGGCAGTGCAGCTGTAGAACACTGCCACTGACACAGCATGTTCTGTTTGGACGTGCCGCAATAAGGTGGTTTTAAAAAATTTAAACGTCGTCGTTCAGTACTTTTTTAGGGTTCTCTATGGCAGAACTGTGGGATCATGGCAACGTTTGGGGCAACTTATTTTGACTTTCTAGTTGCTCGTAATTTCCACCGTGCAGTCTAGATCCATCCCTGCTTTAAGTGCAGCTATGCGTATGTATGAATTTGTAGAATCTCATCTCCATGGGGCTGTCATTTTCCTGAGATAACCGCCATGCCGTTATGATTGACAACTGAACTATGTACAGAGAAAAGGTTTCTTAAAAGAACAAGTGGAATGACTAACAGATTAATTCAGAAGTATTTGCACAGGATTCCTGCCATTATTTCCGCTTTTACGTTGCATCTTGAATTTTCTTTCAGGTTTCTAGTCCGAATGACGTGTTTATTTTCATCGAATAGAAAAACATATATTTATCAACAGAAATTTCTGAATCTTTAGCAATAAAAGGATTTAAATGCATCTCCCAAAGAAAGTCTACCCAGAAATATGCAGTGACCTGACTTCGCAAAAGCAAAGTGGGAAAAGTAATTCCTCGTTACAGCATCTCTCTGTTTCAGACACAGCTGGTGGTCGCCTCATGCGTCAGTCCGGAAGATCAACGATTGATTTATACCTCTGCTTTTAGAAGATCTTTTATTCCTTGATTGCATTTTCAAGGGTAATTTCGTTAACTCGTTTTTTTCTAGTACAGCCTACTTCCAACCCAAACCGCATGTCACTGCGCTCCACATGGGGAGCTTCTCCAGAGGCAGGTGATTCGGCGAGGGAAACGTTAGTTGCAGCTTGCTTCACCGAAGTCGGTCGCAGACACCGATGAGCAAAGTTGGTGGGGAGAGAGAGAGAGACCGAGCCCCAGGGAGCTCTGATGACGTTCAGGGGCCACTAGGAACTCTGCACGGTGGGGGCGGGGGGGGTGGAACGTTGTCTACAGAAATTTTGAACTACTGTCTCTAGTCTCCTTGGTTGTCTGCCCGCTCTTAAGAGTCACGTCGTGATTCACTTAATGCTATTCCATATGCTGTTTTATTAAGAAGGCTAGAAAAACATCAGCGTGTGGCCCATGGCGTGTAATTAAGAGTTCTGCATCCACAGCAGCTGGTGGTTCATGCTGGAGGTAATTAATATTTCTGATAATGTCACCAAAGATTCTGTCAGGAAAGTTTGGAAATAAAGGAACCCCGTTTAGAGGGGAAAAATCCGGAGAACTGTTTGAACTTACTACAACAAGCGAGCTATTCATTTCTAGAACCCCTTTATTGCCTTTGTTAAGATACGCAAACTGTTAGATGTCAGCATTATCGGTGAGTGATGATGGATCGTGGGTCTCACTTATCTGCAGGTTGCTTATCTAGCCGCTTCACCATCTGGAACATAAGTGGAGTATCAAAAAGTGGGCTTAAAAAAAAGAAGAGAAACATGCTCGCCTCTTAGCTAAAATGGGCTTGAATCCAGGCACAAAAGCGCATGTCTGACTCTTGGGAAAGCCCCTTGAGCCATGTGGCATAGGAAGAAATTTTTGGTGCCGAAGCAAAAGGATAATGCGAACTGGAAATGATGTGTTTGTGGAAGGACGGACCCCATGTCCCAGCTCTTGCTGAGAGCACGTCAGCATTCGTCACTGCGCCCTGACGTCAGACCTCTTCCTCCAGCAGCCAGACCCTTCTGTGAACCTCGAGTTAAAAAAATAGTGGGGGGCACCTGGGCTCTGGGCAAGCCAGAAGGGCCCCGAGTCCCAGGATCATTTACTAATTGTGTGACCTTGGGCGAGGGCCTCAGCTTCCCCTCCGGAGAGGTGACTCGGGCAGGTGGGGGCTGGTGAGCGTCGCCCACATAGATGGCCAGCGTCTCGCCACTCCCCTCTTCTCCAGCCCAAAGCAGATGTCAGCAGAAAGTAAAGTTTTAACAAAATGTTAAAGAAAAA